GCTTCATAAATCTTTTCATTTATACATTCGGAATTATACACTCAATAAAATAGCATGTTCTCTGCTACAGAGCTGTAATTTAAACCTATTTAGTGCAGTATTCAGTGCATGTTATTTGCCCTGTTCAGGGGTCGTTTCGTAGAAAAAGAGCTAGGGGAACTCATTAGCATAGCTCATTAGCATATGCCACACCCCCTGACATCACCGGAAGTGTGTCATAAGGCCACACACCCCGCCCCCAATGGTCCCGGCCGCCGCCGGCCTTGCAGCTCCACTGCCGAGGCCCATGAGGGGCCCCGCGGCGGAACTGCAAGGCCGGCGGGAGTGCAAGGAAGCCCCGCGAAGGCCCTCCCTGGCCCCAGGCAGGCAGGGGTGGGGAGAGGCAGGGAGGAAGCAACTTACCCTCCCTCTTCTCCTGCCTCCTCCTGGCTGAATGAGGGCTGGAAGCAGGGCGGCTGGAAGCAGGGGGCGGGGCTTCGTCATGTGCCCCGCCCCCGTACCTCACCCGGGGGGACTGCGATCCCCCGTGATCCCCCCCGAAATGACCTCTGGCCCTGTTGCAAGGCTGCATGCTCTCCCACACCATTTTGGCTAGGGGAAAACAGTGCAGCAACAGAAGGCTGGATTCTCTCCTCTCCCTGTTCCTGCAGTCCCAATCCAAATTGGCTGTTTCAGCACTTGTCTGAGTTCCCTGCAGCTGCCATGTGGTTTTGGGGAAAGCAGTTTGGGGTTTCCCCAACCCCAATCATGGCCAAATGTGTAGTTTGGCCCTCAGATTTCACAAGAAAAGGAGAGACTAGTCCATAGAGCAGAAAATAAGTCATCCAAACCAGCTCATCTAGTAGGGCTGCCAGGTACTCCGGGGGGGCAGGGGTTCCCCCGCTCAAAGGGTCGCCAATCCGCCAGTCAGGATCCGGCTGGCGGGGGTAACCCCACCCCCGAAGTGGCCAGATCGGGCTGACGTGCCTGGCGCGATGACATCACCCAGAAGTGATGTCATCACACTGGGCACATCACCAGGCGATGCTCTAGCAATCACCCTGAAAACTCTCTTGTACCATAGAGTTTTCAGGGTAATTGCTAGAGCGTTGCCGGGCAACGTGCCCAGTGTGATGACGTCGCTTCTGGGTGACGTCATCGCAGCGCTACATGCACATACGAATGTCCCGGACTGGGACCACCACTCCCCCGCTGCAGCCAGTAAGTCACTTGGCAACCCTATCAACTACTCTTTGCTGTTTGTGTTACCATTTCTTAGCACCTTTGTCTTCTGTTCTCAGAATCTTAGTGCCAGCTGTCATGACCGCTGCATAGTTGTTGGGAGAAATGGCCAGAACTATAGAGCGTGTCATCAGATGTGAACTAAGTACTCACTAGCATGTTCTAGACACACTCAAGTAGCAGCAAATTGCATGGGTGGAGGGGTACAGGTGGCAGTTCTGTAGTTCTGTAACTTTCAGAAAAGTTACAGAACTAATTTAGAAGCCCCTGCTGATTTTTTTTTAACTTCCAAGGAACTGCAGGCTTCCTTAAAAAGCCACTGGTCTAAATAATTGTGTGAGTAAGGAATTACCAAAGTTAGTTTAAATTCAGGGTAATGGTGCATCCAGCTAAATACCAACCATTTTGGTTGGCAGCAGGTCTCGTTCCTTTGGTGGTAGGGATTCCGCAAGTAATAGAGGGGAATGTAGAATTTACTCAGGTGGCTTAGGTTCTGAGCCATTAGCTTTCCAGCTTTATTCCACTCCGCCAAACACATACAGGATTCTTTTTTGCTGCAAGCACCGGAATATGAATTGGAGATATGATTGTCTACTACTCTTTTATTTTTAAGCCCCTGGAGGGGATTTTTTTATTTTTTATCACTACAAAAAACTACAACAGAAAATCACCCAGAAGTGATGTCATCACACTGGGCACATCACCGGGCGATGCTCTAGCAATCACCCTGAAAACTCTCTTGTACCATAGAGTTTTCAGGGTAATTGCTAGAGCGTTGCCGGGCAACGTGCCCAGTGTGATGACGTCGCTTCTGGGTGACGTCATCGCAGCGCTACATGCACATACGAATGTCCCGGACTGGGACCACCACTCCCCCGCTGCAGCCAGTAAGTCACTTGGCAACCCTATCAACTACTCTTTGCTGTTTGTGTTACCATTTCTTAGCACCTTTGTCTTCTGTTCTCAGAATCTTAGTGCCAGCTGTCATGACCGCTGCATAGTTGTTGGGAGAAATGGCCAGAACTATAGAGCGTGTCATCAGATGTGAACTAAGTACTCACTAGCATGTTCTAGACACACTCAAGTAGCAGCAAATTGCATGGGTGGAGGCAGAAAAGTTACGGAACTAATTTAGAAGCCCCTGCTGAACTTCCAAGGAACTTCAGGCTTCCTTAAAAAGCCACTGGTCTAAATAATTGTGTGAGTAAGGAATTACCAAAGTTAGTTTAAATTCAGGGTAATGGTGCATCCAGCTAAATACCAACCATTTTGGTTGGCAGCAGGTCTCGTTCCTTTGGTGGTAGGGATTCCGCAAGTAATAGAGGGGAATGTAGAATTTACTCAGGTGGCTTAGGTTCTGAGCCATTAGCTTTCCAGCTTTATTCCACTCCGCCAAACACATACAGGATTCTTTTTTGCTGCAAGCACCGGAATATGAATTGGAGATATGATTGTCTACTACTCTTTTATTTTTAAGCCCCTGGAGGGGATTTTTTTATTTTTTATCACTACAAAAAACTACAACAGAAAAAAGGGGAGGGGAAAACTACACATACAGGAGAAAGTAAAGAACCCACCACTATCTAAAAACCCAAGATTGTCTACTACTCTTGACACCTAGCCACTATTTCCTTTTAAGAGACTCTTCTTCAAATGAAGAGCTGTCCTTCTAGGGTTGTCAGGTCCTCCCTGGTCACCAGCGGGGGATGGGGGGGTAAGGTTGCCACATCCAGGTTGGGGAACTTCTGGAGATTGGGAGTGGACCCTGGAGAGGACAGGGTATAATGCCATAGAGTCCACAGTCCAAAGCATCCATTTTGTCCAGGGAAACTGATCTCTGTAGTCTGGAGATGAGCTGTGATTCCAGGGGATCCCCAGGTTTCACCTGGAGACTGGCATCCCTAGCGTCCTCCAAATCTCCAAGGATGCAGGGGAAACCTTGAACATCGGCTTACTAGTGTAATTTAGTTTAAGGCAGGTGGCTCCCTGCCTTCTCTTTGTGTTTTGGTAAGTGTGAGCCAAGTTAGGCTTTTGTGTAAGTGCAGACCGACCACCATAAGGCCAATTATAGAAAGAAAAAATAACAGTCATTGGTTAGAAAAGGAAAAGCATATAATTGAACAAAAGCTGTCTAACAGCTACTTGAGCAAACTACGTCTGTGATGGTGATTAAAGTTATTCTGCCTACCATTTAAGTTTCCAGGTTTCTGTTTCAGGTCAGGGCTAGGTAATGTTTTGTGGCCTCTTTTATTGAGGTATTGCTATAATCCCTCTAAAAAAAATTTAAAAACCCAAATTTCCAAAGTAAAAATCTTTTTCAAGCTAAACATTCCCCCCAACAAAATACAGCATTCTTCCTCTGTAGCCTATTGGACTCCATAAAGTTCATTACAAACTCCACTGACTATGGATAGGTCATGGAGTCACAGGACAAGTTCCCTTGTTCTCTTGGCTACCTCCAGGGGTCGTTTCGTAGAAAAAGAGCTAGGGGAACTCATTAGCATAACTCATTAGCATATGCCACACCCCCGACATCACCAGAAGTGTGTCATAAGGCCACCCCCCCTGACATCACCAGAAGTGTGTCATAAGGCCACACACCCCGCCCCCAACGGTCCCGGCCGCCACCGGCGGCCTTGCAGCTCCACTGCCGGGCCCCATGACGGTGGGAGTGCAAGGAAGCCCCGCGAAGGCCCTCCCTGGCCCCAGGCAGGCAGGGGTGGGGAGAGGCAGGGAGGAAGCAACTTACCCTCCCTCTTCTCCTGCCTCCTCCTGGCTGAATGAGGGCCGGAAGCGGGGTGGCCGGAAGCAGGGGGTGGGGCTTCGTCATGTGCCACGCTCCTCATACCTCACCCGGGAGAACTGCGATCCCCCGCGATTCCCCCCGAAATGACCTCTGGCTACCTCACACCAGCATGGGAATTGCCTGCTGCTGGCCTGGCAGATGAGAAAACTAAACAGAAAGCTGAATTTGCAAGCCTGTGTTTTCCCAGGAAAGTTAACCTCTGAACATTCACAGAAGCACAACTTAAACATTTACTTTACAAAGCTGTAATTTTGTATATAGAATTTGATGATTTTTTTCTTGCCTCTACAGCTTAATAGTCCAGTGCTTATAACACTGAGAATTTTAGCCATCCAGTATTTGACATGCAATGGGAAACAGAAAGAGCATTGAGAGAAGAGATGGTGGAGAAAGATGGGAGGACCAGATGGGGGGAGGAAAGATGAAATGGGTGTGGTGGGAAGCAGAGTCAAAAAAGAGGTGGAAGCTTAACCTAATTTTCTCTTCTTGGAGCCATTGAGGCATGGAAAAATAACAATGTGAGTCATCAGTGGTTTGTGACTTTTTCACATTGCAGTTTGATTCCTATCACCCTAGATGAGGGTTTGATAGAGAGATGAAAGATGAAGATAGCTGCTGTGATTTCATTTACAAAGGGATCTATCCCTTCACAGTACGCTGATTCGTTTAAGTCATACATCTATAATTAAAAAACACTGCTAAACAAATGAAGCTTCCTGGGCAGATTTCTAAGTTGGCTGAGATGTATTCATTCCTAATGCTCAGTAGAAATCTTTCCAAATCCATAGCTACAGCAAAGAATGGTTTGACAAATACGCATTATCCTAAAATAATGGGAAGTTGGGAAGATGGGAAGTTGCGCCAAATATATCTGGCTCAAATTATTTCCTTGTGTAAACAACAATAGAAGTATGGTTTGATGTAGTAGTAGTAGCATGGTTAATGGAATCTTTTCTCTCCCTCTTAATTGTAGTATCTGAAAGTTCTAAAGCGCAAGACAAAAAATCTGCTTCATCCAACCGTCCTTCCTCTGCTGCTGTTGAGCAGAACACTAGCAATACTGGAGCTAAGCCAGGTATAGTTTATCTTTTTATCTTTACCTTTCTTTGCTTTCTGTAACCTAGAAAGTATTTTAAAACTCCTTCATTTAAAAAAATGGTGTGTTGTTTTCCTTCTCGTATTTCTTCAGGTACTGCTGAAGCTTGGGTGTTAATTTATTTTCTAATGTAAAACATGAACATTTAACAGAAGCAAACACTGCATGCTTGCATTTGAAACTTACACAACTGAGATTTTACTCTTGGTAAAATAAGGATGCAGTCCTAAGAATGCTCTTCTGGGAAGAAGCCCCATTGAATAAAATGGGACTTACTTCAGAGTCAACAGGTTTGCTCCTAATGATCTTGTATGGGATGAATGCCAAACAAGCACTTAGAAAAGGAAATAGGCTGGGTGTTGTGGTCCCTGGGGCTTTTGGTACAGTATAATTCCTATTAGAGAGTTCTAGGATCAGAGTTTCCTTTTAGGTTTTAGTTTGAGTTGTGTAGGAAAGAGATAATATGACAGCAAAAATGCTGACATGGTTTATTACTGCCAGGCATATTTATTCACCTCTGATCTTAAGTTGTTAAGATTGAGCAATTTTTCCTTATGAGAAGATGGCTTTTTTGCAGTATCGTAATTTTTTTACAATGTATTTTCCTGATACAAGACACACTCTCTTTGTCAGGTACAATTCAGGAACAATAAGCAATAGAACTGGGCAATAGCCAGCAAGGAAGTATAAGTTTTTGTTTATCAGGGACAGCTAAAGTTTTGAATTGGATATGAATATGATAATTAAGCAGATATGCACACTTTAAAAGATATTTGTTTCACTCTGTTGGCAAAGTTGCACACTTCTCCCATTCCCTAGTTAGCACTCTCAGGACTTGATTTAGTGGAGGACAGATGGAAACAGTTTTTTGCTGATCCTGCCCTCCTGCTGTGGGCCACCACTGTCGCCTTGGAGTAGCATTTCAGAAAGCATTTGGGGCTTTTAGTGGGAAGTGGGACAGACGAAAATCCTTAGAAATCTCACAGCAGCAGATTTATAATTGGGGGGGGGGGCTCTCCAGTGACAGCAGTACAGTGACATCACTTCTGGCATGATCTGGAAGGGACATCATCACACAGGGTATTCTATAGTATTCACTCCAGACTCTGTGGTTTAAACATAGACCTTTTGGTGACCACTTGAGTGTCACCCCTATGCAGTGATGTCACTTCTAGGTCATGCCGGAAGTGAATTCACCATATCACTGCGATGGCAATCCCCTCCCATTTTCCTCCACCAGCCCACCAAGTAGTGTTGGGGGAAGAAGTCTGCTGGTGGGAATTCTTCCACCAACCTGGGTAATCTGGCAGTCCTACTTCCATAGGATCCAAGCCATAATAGGCAATTTGTTTTGCAAGAAAGTAGGGGGGGGATTAAAATGGAGAATGGCCTAGACTATAACAGAAACTAGATAATAGTTAATGGCAGAAATAAACAAGAATAATGTGGCACCAAGAAGATTAACACAATTTTATTCGTGCGTAAATTTCTGTGGATTACAGGAAGAGAGTGATAGTTCTTCTAAATGAAGAAATCCCAACATATATGTGAATTTTTACCTGCAGGAGTACAGATTAGAAACCTTTGACTTCTCTTCATGTAACAAGATTTCCAGCTCTGGTTGCTGAACTTCCATATTGCAAAATGTAACCACGATCATGGAGATTTTTTACAGCCTAAGCAAACTGATAATGCAAATACGTGATTGCAATTGTTTGCATGAGCTTTCTTGTGGTTTCTTTAATGCCACTCTTACAGCTAAATTCTTCTAAAACAGCTGATGTTCGTTTGAAAAGCAAAACTATCCAGATTTGGTTTTCATACCTTGACCAGCTCTCCGAGTTGAGTGCACACAAATTCTGGCGCTGAAAACCAATTTAAACTCTGAGCGCTGGTGTCACTAAAATTAAACTTTTTGAAGGGTGTCTCTTTTGTTGTTTTATAAATTCCAGAGCTCTGACTTGTTGCTGGGCTCTACTTTAAATATTGACCTTGCTATGTGAGGCTCTGTCAGCACATTTTTCTTGTTTTCCCTAAGGCCCTTGACATGCAGCGACAAAGTGAATCTGTAAAGAGCTATGTCTTCTTCTTTGCCATCCATGCTGTCAGTTTTTATTTATTTAAAAGATTTCTATCCCACACTCTCTAGAACATGCTCAAGTTTTACAACTGTCTCAGTGCCATTTGTTCAGACTGGAAAGCTGTTCAACTGAAAAGAGGGCTCATAGGAAATGGGGGGAAACAAAGGCATCACATACCCTGTGAAACTTTTCTACCTCCTCACATATCTTATATTTTATGTAGTCAGTGGCAGGATGTCAGCTGGTCAGCTGTAGCCATTACCCAGTTGCTGGCACCTGGGCCTACTGCCAGGCAATTAATCTTTCATTTCTGTTCTCTTAAAACAAAAGATATAAGACAGCAAGATCAATTATATACGCCAAAAGAAGAAAACGCATTTGCCTCTTTAAAGAAAGTTCCATCTTACTTAGAAGTGCTTCATGTATTACCGCACAGATTGGGGATCTGTACTCTACTGGGCGACATGTCACTCCTGTCACTCTTGTATTTTTCTGACAAATTCCACAGTGTATACAGATATGACATTCTTTGTGTGTAATCTGTATTCAGGATAACATGTCTTGTGCTAAAAGTAACTTTAGAACAGCTATGCTCAAGTATAGGATTTTAAATTAGGGTTGCCAGCTGCAGGCTGAATATTCCTGGAGATATGAGGGTGGAGCCTGGGAAGGGCAGGATTTAAGAAGGGGGGGGGGTCCTCAGCAGAGCACAATGCCATAAAGTCCACTCTCCAAAGCAGCCGTTGTCTCCAGGGGAACTGATCTCTGTCATCTGGAGATCAGTTGTAATTCTTATTTCCAGGCTCCACCTGGAGATTGGCAACCATAAATTGTGCTGCCTGTTGATTACCTCCAAAATGCTTTGGGATGGAACCTCTTCAACAAAATTATTTTGAAAATGTTTACAAATTCTTGAGTTTTCAATATACAGATTGAAAACTTCATTTCCCTCTTGAAAGTTCCAGCACCTCTTCCCCCCCCCCCCAAAAAAGCCCTGGATGGATCCATACTAAAAATTTAATTTCAAGCCCCTTTTTTACAAAAAAAAAAAAAAAAAAGCCCTGGATGGATCCATACTAAAAATTGGCAGTTTCCAACAATTCCCCTTTTTCACTGCATGTCTTCCTTGGGTCCCCTTTCCCCCAGGAACAGCATTTTGTGGAAATGGGCTGAAGTGGGATAGGAAAAACAGGAAAGTTCCAGTTTGTTGATGGAAAATTTAGTCTGCATGACATTCGCTCTCATTTTCATAGATGACAATTATACCTGAGCTGCATGACTTCAGATGGCTGGTGTATACTCACATAACTGAGTGTTCCTCTATACCAGGGGTGGCCAAACTTGCTTAACATAAGAGCCACATAGAATAAACATCAGATGTTTGAGAGCCACAAGACATGAAGAAATATAATCCACATGTTTTTATAGAAAAATATGCAAATTTGCTTTTTCTTAACATTAAATGAGACTGCCAAAAATAAAAACAAACGGGGTAAAAATAGATATTGTTAATTATTAGATGGGGAGGGAGGGGAGAGAGAGAGAGAAATAAAGTGTAAAGAAAGCAAATAGATGGGATGGAGGGAGAGGTGGAAAGAAAGCAGCTTTAACTTTAAATGCATCTTCCAAGACCTCCACGCCCCACGCCAGCTGGATTGGCTTCGGGAAGGGGTTTAAAGAGACAAATGCCTTCTCTGAGCCAGCCGGCGGGGGTGGGGGGGAGTGTCTTTAAGAACACATTTAAAGTTAAAGTTGCTTTCTTTCACTGCTCCCCTCAGCTCAAGCCTACCCAGGGAAGGGAGCACTGGCTGGGGGAGGGAAGATCAATCTGGGAGGCATGCCTCCCCTATGCTTCCCCAGCCACCCTCCCGGGAGCTGCACAATATCTGTGAAAGAGCCGCATGTGGCTCCTAAGCCACAGTTTGGCCAACCCAAAATACCACAACAAACAAAACAATGTCAGGGACAAAGCTAAGCTAGAATTCTTTGATTTGACATAACTTTTTTATGTAGAGGGGTTTTTTTATGGAAGAAAACCACTTCACACTTCAGGTAGCTCAGGCACAGGGTTATCACCTGAGGGGGAATAAGTGAGAACTCTAAGAACTGGTTGAGTACCATGCATGACAATGCTTTTTGTTTAGGCACAGAAGAATTATCTTGTTAATTTGTTAATTTGTTGGGCTTCACAAATTCTTAAACAGGTTAAATTTCAACTGCTTGTACTTCTTTAAAGTTGCTTTTTATTGAGTTTAGAATCCTGTACATTTAATTTGAGATTTTTAAACGTTTTCTTGTCCTGTTTTTGAAGACTGTGCACCAGTACTGAAAGTTGATGAGAGACAGCGACTTGCACGAGAACGCAGAGAGGAACGGGAAAAATTTTTAGGTGAGTCCCTCCCCCCCATCAAGTTGCAGCTGACTTAATGTCAAACTGTACTATTATCAAACTCAAGGGTTTTCAAGGCAAGAGTCATTCACAGGTGGTTTGCCATTGCCTGCCTCTGCATAGCGATGCTGGGCTTTCTTGGTGGTCGCCAATAAAAATACTAGCCAGGGCCAAACCTGCTTAGCTTCCAAGATCTGACGAGATCAGCCTAGCCTGAACCATCCAGGTCATGGCTGTGTTTACTATAGCAAAGGGTTTTCATAGGTTATAAAGTGCTTATAATTTGATATTTATAACAATAAGCTTATCAGTATAGTGAAAAAGTATAATTATATGTAAAAAATCCTTTCTGGTATTTATAATAAAGCAGTATAGTATAAGAGTATAATTATATGTAAAAAATCCTTTCTGCCATAGAATTCAGTCTTGAAATCTTAATGTCATGTTATGTCCATACTGCAGGTTGTGTGGTATATGTGGTAGCGTACAAGTGTGGCTCAGTTACATAAGCATGTGCTTCGGTCCTGACTCATGTTACACATAGTGGAAGAGAGCATGCAAACAAAGGGGTTTTTTTGTTGTACCCTCCACCATTTAAAACTTATTGCCATTTCTGAACAGACCTAAATTGACTAACATTCTGGTATTGACTTTCATGATCTTCTTGTTGGGCTGCTTAAAGCTTCTCAGAAGCCTGAAGTAAATATTCCAAGAGATAAATTCAAGTAAAATATTGGAACTCTTGGTCAGGGCTAGGCAGATGAACAAGAACTACAGATAAGAAAAGCCACTGCCATCCCTTTACCATCTGAAGTTAAGGCATCCTTTTTTTTGGAATGCTTTTGAGAACCGAAGAGTCATGTCAAAGGGAAGTGAGCACCTATAGAGGCGGGGGGGAGGGTATTCACCACTATATAACTTGACCTCTGACCCATCTTGTAATTTTCTGTCATAGAAATTAATAGAGCAGTTCCATTCTACATAAGATGCACTCTGGCAAATCTTTGGGGCTCCTACTCTGACTCTTGGCAAGCCAGCATGTACTGACCACAATCCCATGCGAGAAGCTAAAGTATCTTCTGTGTGCAAAGTATGGGAGACACACTGCACTCTCTTAGGCATGCTACTTAAGCACAGCATAGCCCATACTGTTCCAAGTTGTACCTGTAATTTTCTGTGGGTTGGTTTTCTGAGTTGGCTTGCTGGCAGATGTAGGGAAGGATTAGGATGATAGAATACAGAGCTTTAGTGGATTCTTCCCCAGATTTCTGTCTCTGTTTGTGTCTGCTGATAAAAAAATACAATACGCTTCACTACACATCATTTTCTTGTTGGACCACACCTGTTTGCAAATAAAAATTCAAAAAGGAGACATGAATAATGAAAAGCTAGAGAATAAATTTGCTAGATGGGACTTCGGGCCACTGCTGCAGCACAATTGAGGCAGAGTCTGAGGCACCATTTGCCTCACTGTTGCTGTTCAGTACTCATGGTGGGAATTCCATTCTCCAGTGGTTCTTCGTGGGACATTCCTCACATCTGGGATAAGCTCTGCCTCCTTCCGCAGGGTCGGCTCCAAATTTGATCTGGACGGGGGAGGGGCTATCTCCTTGTAGGCGATCCAGTTTTCTTGCCGGCCCTGCTTGCAGCAGGACGTACTCCAGCTGCTCTGCACAGAGCAGCTCACAAGAAAGCGAAAGTAAAAGAAGAGAGAAGGAAGAAGAACAGAGCCGCAGCGCTGATTAAAGTGAATGGCTCTGGAGAGGGCCACAACGACGTTGGGAGTTCCTAGCGGCGGTGGAACCCAGCGGTCCCTCTCAGGAGATCTCCTGCTGGCCTTACCCGTCCTCGGACGGAGGGTCAGCTCCTGAGAACCAGGGAGCGTGGAGATCAAGAGACGCGGAGGCACGGAGGTCTGTTCTCTCTCGGCCCCTCCCTCCCCTCCTATCCGAAATTTAAGGACGAGTTGAAAATCTCCTTAGCTATTGCCTTCACTGCAGATGTGACCCTGGATGCGCTGCAATTATCTGCCAGGGCTCTGGCTTCTCGACTGAATCGCGGTAGGTCAAACAGCCGAAAGGGGGGCGGGGATTTCGTCTCCTTTCTCCCCTCCCGGGTGCTTGAAGCAAACTGGACCATTCGATCCACGGTTTTTTCCCTGGTCTTTGGGAGACCCTAGAACAAGAGGGATTTCGTCTCTTTTTATCCTCCTAGCTTGCCTCTACAGGAGGAAAAGCAGAAGGGGGGGCCTTTATCAGCCCTGCGGTGGGGGACTTGGTTTGGCGGGAAAATATGGCGGCCGCCATCTTGCCTCCGTCTGGAGCCGCCCTAGGACCTATAGTCCTCTCACTCACAGCCCATAGACCAGGAAGGGGGGGGGAGATTTGCTAGAATAATAGGTGCATGTCTCAGGGCAGTCTCCTTTAGGGAGAAATAAGCCAGGATATAAACCTGAATGAATTTTATTGTTACAGTGCTTAGCCAGCAATATAAAACCATAGGAATAAAAATAAATTACAATGGCCTAATAGTAAAATTTCCAAAGTGCAACTAGGTACTAAAAAATAACATTGTACAATCATTTTGGTCACTAAAACCAGACTTAAAATTACACTGCAATAAAACACGGTAAAAGGAAGTAAACTAAGATGATTTGGGAACAGTAAAAGTTAAAATCAAA